CTGGCCAATTTGGTGAAACCCCGTCTCTACTAAAAATACAAAAATAAGCCAGGTGTGGTGGTGCATGCCTGTAATTCCCAGCTACTCGGGAAATTAAGGCACGAGAATCGCTTGAACCTAGGAGGTGGAGGTTGCAGCGAGCTGAGATCGTGCCACTGCACTCCAACCTGGGTGACAGAGCAAGACTCCATCTCAAAAAAAAAAAGATGAAGAAGCTTTCAGACACCCTTGAGAGAGGCACTGCTCCTCTGGGCCTCAGTTTCCCCATCTTAAACACCTGAACCGTGGCTTTCCATGATGGGGTGATGATACAACCCTCTGAAGGATGTTTTGAAAATTCATAGAAGATTTTTTCTTACGTAATATATTTTATTAACAACAGTAGTAGGCCAGGCATGGTGACTCATGCCTGTAATCCCAGCACTTTGGGAGGCCGAGGCAGGAGAACCACTGGAACCCAGGGATTCGAGACCACCCTGGGCAATATAACGAGACTCCTTCTCTATAAAAAATTTTTTTAAAACTTAGATAGGTATGGTGGTGCACGCCTGTAGTCCCAGCTACTCAGGAGCCTGAGGTGGGAGGATCGCTTGGGCCTGGTAGGTCGAGGTTGCAGTGAGCTATGCCCAGCTATGTTGCTGGGCAACAAAGTGAGACTCTGTCTCTAAAAAACAAACAAACAAACAAACAAACAAAAAAAGGCAGGGTGCAGTGGCTTACGCCTGTAATTCCAGCACTTTTGGAGGCCAAGGCGGGCAGATCACCTGAGGTCAGGAGTTTGAGACCCACCTGGTCAACACAGTGAAACCCCGTCTCTACTAAAAATATAAAAATTAGCCAGACGTTGTGGCAGGCACTTGTAGTCTCAGTTACTTGGGAGACTGAGGCAGGAGAATCGCTGGAACCTGGGAGGCAGAGGTTGCAGTGAGCCGAGACTGTGCCACTGCAGTGAGCTGAGACTGCGCCACTACAGTGAGCCGAGACTGCACATGGGCAACAGAGCAAACCTCTGTTAAAAAAAAAAAAAAAAAAAGCCAGATGTGGTGGTACATGCCTATAGTCGCAGTTACTCGGAAAGCTGAAGTAGGAGGATCCCTTGAACTCAGGAGTTCGAGGCTGCAGTGAGCTATGATCAGGTTACTGCACTCTAGCCTGGGCAGCAAAGCGAGATCTTGTCTCCAAAAAAAAAAAAAATTCCCACTGTGAGCAGGTTATATCATCCTCTTTTGAGGAGGGGAGCTTTCGAAATCAGGTGATTGTTGTTTAAAAGGAGATATGGGGCTGACAGGGTTGAGAATCGGTCATTTCCAGGATCTTCTAGCCACTCTGGTTTCTGGAATCCCCAGGGATCTAGCCCCGACCATCCAGGGCGTAACCATGAGGTGGGCGTGACTACAGGGTGGTGGGCGTGGCCCCTGGTGGATGGGGCTTGGGGACCTCACCTCTCCCGGATGAAGTCCGCCAGCTCCTTGGTGGAGATGGGCCCCTGCTTCACGCTGTGGTACAGGACCTCAAAGCCATGATTTTTCTCGCCCTGTAGTGGATGGGAGTGGAGACTGAGAAAGAATGGAGAGGGCATCATAGTTGCTTAGCAACGGGGGCGTGGCCAAGGAGCAGAAGTCCATCCCCTTGGCTGTAGGGACTCGTTCAGACTTGAGCGAATCAGCTTGCTGTATTTCCCCTGGGCCATAGGATTGTCTATGGACCTTAAATTTGTCCAATCAGAGAGAAGCCTGGGATTTTCTTTTTGTCCCGTAGTTGCTGGGGAGGAATCTCATTTGTTCTGTGTCTTTGTCTCCTTCTGTCTTTGTGTCTCTTTCTGTTTTTCTGAGTCTCTCTGCCATTTTCTGTCTCAGTCTCCTCCCCTTTTCTCTGTCTTTCCATAAATGAGGAATTATATGGCCACAGGGGATATTGTAAGTCAAATGGAAACCGCGAGCCTTAGAAAGAAGCTGAACCAGAGGGCTTTTGTATTAAAAAAAAAAAAAAATGTGTGTTCAGCTGGGCGCGGTGGCTCACTCCGTCTCTACTAAAAATACAAAAATTAGCCGGGCGTGGTGGTGCGTGCCTGTAATCCCAGCTACTTGGGAGACTGAGGCAGGAGGATTGCTTGAGCCCACCACTGCACTCCAGCCTGGGTATCAGAGCAAGACTGTCTCGAATGAATGAATGAATGAATGAATGAAATAAAAATAAAAATAAATTGGAGTGTGTCACGCCTGTAGTCCCAGCACTTTGGGAGGCTGAGGCAGGCAGATCACGAGGTCAGGAGTTTGAGACCAGCCTGGCCAACATGGTGAAACCCTGTCTCTACTAAAAATACAAAAATTAGCCAGGCATGGTAGCGCACCCCTGTAATCCCAGCTACTTGGGAGGCAGAAGCAGGAGAATTGCTTGAACCCAGGAGGCAAAGGTTGCAGTGAACCAAGATCATGCCACTGCACTCCAGCTCTGGGCAACAAAGCAAGACTCCATCTTGGGAAGAAAAACAACAACAACAACAACAACAAAACAACAGATATATATATATACACACACACACACACGAAAAGAAAAAGTCAAATTGTCTCTCTTTGTGACATGATCTTATGTATAGGAAAGCCTAAACACTCCACCAAAAAGCTCCTAGAACTGATGAACAAATTCAGTTAAGTTGCAAAATACAAATATCAGCATATGAAAATCAGTAGCGTTTCTATATACCATTAATAAAATAGCTGAAAAGAAATCAAGAAAGTGATCGCATTTACAATAGCTACAAAAAAAAAAAAAGGTGTGTTGAATCAAGTTGCTGGATCAAACCAACCCTGAAAGCCACCTTCCCCCATAATCATTCGATCTTAAAAACCAATACAGTCCCCATTGCTTAAGTCACTGTAGTTGTGTTTTCTGTTCTTGTCAACATGGAAACTCCCTCTATGAGAACCCAAAGTAGGGTCCAGGTTTGAGTTCTCTCCCAGGACCCAGCAAAACCCAGCACAGAATGAGAGACAGAAAGGGCATTTGAGTTTGTCAAAAAAATGAACAAATGATTCTGCTGTTACCTGCTAGTGCCAGTGGGAACTGAGCATTTCTACCCTGGTGCCTGAGAATGCCTTGCACAAAATCTCTTTACTCCAATTTCTGGGGTTGTCATGGTGGAGGAGGCTAGGGCTGCACTGTGTGACGCAGGCAAGTCACTGCCCCTCTCTGAGCTTTTAGCAGCTCCTCATTAAGATGGGGCAGAGAGGCTGGGCGCGGTGGCTCATGCCTGTAACCCCAGCACTTTGGGAGGCTGAGGCAGGCAGATCACTTGAGGTCTTGAGCTTGAGACCAGCCTGGTCAATATGGTGAAACCCTGTCTCTACTAAAAATGCAAAAGTAGTCAAGCACGGTGGCAGGTGCCTGTAATCCCAGCTACTCAGGAGGCTGAGGCAGGAGAATCGCTTGAACCCGGGAGGCGGAGATTGCAATGAGCCAAAATCATATCACTACACTACAGCCTGGGAGACACCCGCCTCTTACATGGGGATGATACAAGCAGCAACATAATCCATGTCAATGCTCCCCAAAGCCCCAAAGGCAACTCTAGCTTTTGCTAATTTGTAACATTAGTTATTAATAGTTAGCATTTGTTTTAAATTTGCTTATGTTTCTCCCCCAAAGACATTTATGTAAAAGGGCAACTTTTTCTGCCACTCTCGATGGAAAATTGGGACCCTTTGCTGCATGAAAAGAGTAGGAGAAAATGAGGCAACAACTATATCTTAATGCCAGCCAGATTCTGTCACCTGGGAAGGGCATCATGCCTGAACACTACTAAGCTGTCCATTAAAAATGGTAATCAGGCTGGGCGAGGTGGCTCACGCCTGTAGTCCCAGCACTTTGGGAGGCCGAGGCAGGCAGATTATCTGAGGTCAAGAGTTCGAGACTAGACTGGCCAACATGGTGAAACCCCATCTCTACTAAAAATACAAAAATTAGCCAGGAGTGGTGGCACATGACTATAACCCCAGCTATTCGGAGGCTGAGGCAGGAGAATCTCTTGAACCTGGGAGGCAGAGGTTGTAGTGAGTTGAGATTGTGCGATTGCACTCCAACCTGGATGACATAGCAAGACTCTGTCCCCCGTTGCAAAAAAAAAAAAGGGGGGGTGGTAAAACAGGAGACACAACATATTTCAGGATGAAGCAGGAATGCCTCAAATCATGGCTAATATTTAATGCTGATGTGGAGGTGCTGGCCAATGCAGTAAGATAAGAAAAAGGATTGAGACCACATTATATGACTGACTACAGAAAACAAAAAAGAATAAACAAAATTAATAGAACTGAGGAAGAGGATAAAAGCAAGACCAATATAGATTAAACATGGGGATTTTTTTTTTTCTTTAACAGGCGCATGCCACCACTATGCCCGGCTGATTTTTGTATTTTTAGTAGAGGCAGGGTTTCACCATGTTGGTCAAGCTGGTCTCGAACTCCTGACCTCAAGTGATCTGCCTCCCTCAGCCTCCCAAAGTGCTGGGATTACAGGTGTGAGCCACCACACCTGGCCTCATACACACCTTCTGATCCCACTTCTCTCCACCCCTTGCAGACCTGGTCCTCTGTGCCCGCTGTTGGGATTGGACACTTTTAGATTTGGATTTAAAACTCACCATTACAACTTTAAAACCAATGACTAGATGGGTGTGGTGTCTCACGTCCAATCCCAGCACTTCGGGAGGCTGAAGCAGGCAGATCACTTGAGGTCAAGAGTTCAAGACCTGACTGGCCAACATGGTGAAACCCTGTCTCTACTAAAAATACAAAAATTAGCCAGGCGTGGTGGTGGGCACCTGTAGTCCCAAATACTCGGGAGGATGAGGCAGGAGAATTGTTTGAAGCAGGGAGGCAGAGGTTGCAGTGAGCTGAGATCCCACCACTGCGTTCCAGCCTGGCCAACAGAGTGAGACTCTGTCCCACCCCCCCCCCAAAAAAAAGGTAATCAGCTGGGGTCTTGGGGTCTGATGGAATTGGGGACATTTTAGCATCAAATCAGGTCTTGTAAGAATACTGGAAGAGAAGGCTTGTGGAGGGATCTGATGCCACTTAAGTGCCAACACATATCAGTGAAGTCATCCCTCTGGCAGCATCTGGCCGGTTTTCCATAAATGGTAGTTTCCTGTGCCCTCCTCCAACCTGCCATTCATCCTCCCAGGTACCTGGAAGCTTGAATGTTATATATATTTTTCTATGTTTGAGACAGGGTCTCGCTCTGTCTCCCCAGCTGGAGTGCAGCGGCACAATCATGGCTCACTGCAGCCTCAAATTCCTGGGCTCAAGAAATCGTCCCACCACAGCCTCCCAAGTAGCTGGGACCACAGGCACATGCCACCATATCCGGCTAATTTTTTTGATTTTTAGTACAGACAGGGCCTTACTATGTTGCCAAGGTTGATCTCGAACTCCTGGACTCAAGCAGTTCTCCTATCTCAGCCTCCGAAAGTGCTGGGATTATAGGCGTGAGCCACCACACTTGGCCAGAAGCTTGAAGGTTAAAGCCAGAAGTCACTGCTAGATAGCGTTTCCTGCTGCATCAATGGAGAAACTGAAGCCAAGATTGGGGCAGACCCAGGTCAGCCTCAAGCCCAAATCTCCCAATGGTCGCACTTCATTCTAGAATCATCGATGGGTCCCGATTGCCCACCAGACGCT